TTCAGAACCCAACAGTTCGCAAATGTGGGGGGTTCAGAACCGAACAGTTCGCAGATGTGGGGGTGTTCAGAACCCAACAGTTCGCAAATGTGGGGGTGTTCAGAACCGAACAGTTCGCAAATGTGGGGGGTTCAGAACCGAACAGTTCGCAGATGTGGGGGTGTTCAGAACCCAACAGTTCGCAGATGTGGGGGGTTCAGAACCGAACAGTTCTCAAATGTGGGGGTGTTCAAAACCGAACAGTTCTCAAATGTGGGGGTGTTCAAAACCGAACAGTTCGCAAATGTGGGGTGTTCAGAACCCAACAGTTCTCAAATGTGGGTGTTCAAAACCCAACAGTTCGCAGATGTTTGGGTGTTCTGAACCCAACAGTTCTCAAATGTGGGTGTTCAAAACCCAACAGTTCGCAGATGTTGGGGTGTTCAGAACCGAACAGTTCTCAAATGTGGGGGTGTTCAAAACCGAACAGTTCTCAAATGTGGGGGTGTTCAAAACCGAACAGTTCGCAAATGTGGGGTGTTCAAAACCCAACAGTTCTCAAATGTGGGTGTTCAAAACCGAACTATTCGTAAATTGCTTCATTACATAGTAAATCTTTAGTACAGGTCCATTATATCAAGTGCTCCAGTATTCAGAAAATATCTTTGGTAGCGTAAAGGCAACATACTCGCTCTTTGCGCCTCTTGAGCCATTTGGTTTCGGTTCGAGCCCCGACAAAGCAGGATTGACTGGACGCCAATACTTTACTGTTGTGCGAAGAAGGCCGAACAGTTATTGGGGATTTAGTTATGAACCAATTGACAGATTGTGTTCCATGTAGAACTAGTAGGGTGAAGCTTGCCACGAGGGAAGGGAAGGCTCTGGGCCGGCTAAGAGTCAGCAGTCGTCTTTTTGATGACCAGACCACACACTAGAAGGTGAAGGGACGACGACGTTTCGGTCCGTCCTGGACCATTCTCAAGTCGCTTAACAGACGCCTGGGCGTGTTGTTCCCGCCTGTGTCTGAAGATTGAGAGCTCAGCTCAAGCAAGTGTGGAGAGCTCTGGCATGAAAGGTCTAGTGAATAGGCACCAGAAAAGATTCTTTTTGTATTTGTATAATTGGAGTTTTTTTCTGGTGGGTGTAAAGATGTGTTGGTGTATTTTGGGTCTGGGATTAGGTGTGTGTGTGTGTGTGTGGGGGGGGGGGGTGTTGCGGGAGTGTGCGTGCGTGTGTGCGTGTTCAAAGTCCTTTTGGAAGTTGTATGAAGGTCTGTTACCGCGTGTTGTTATACCTGTTCTGTCAAGAAAACATTTCTGTCAAGAAATAGCAACGAGGGTCATTTATTCTCATTTATCCCCTTCCTCTTGAGAGGGGTCACAAAAGTGTTGCCTGCCAGTGTTTGGTTAATATTCTTACCCTTTCGAGTGGGGTGAGAGGGCGTCTCCTTGACTTAGGGGGAGGGTGCTGGTCATATGGGAGGGGTGGCGGTGGATGGTAGGGTGACTGGTAGTGGTGGTGGCGGCGCCAGAGTGGTAGGGTGAGTGGTGGTGGCGGCGCCAGAGTGTGGTAGGGTGACTGGTAGTGGTGGTGGCGGCGCCAGAGTGTGGTAGGGTGACTGGTGGTGGCGCCAGAGTGTGGTAGGACTGTTAACGGTGGTTGTGGTGGTGTTAAGACACCGCCTAAGCAAGGGTCTGGCTCTGACCTCTGGCCTGTGCACCTTGTGTTCACTAGTGAAAGCTGACCTAGTTCACTCATCTCAAGAAGCCCGGGTGATGAAGTGCCCGTTATATCTCTAAATTTTCCTGCCATTACAGGCTAAAACAAACACACACACATACGATAAGCAAAACACCGACACACAAGCAACTATACAAGCCTAACTCAAAAACATTCTACCAATCAAAACATTCACAAAAGGACAATAAAAACGACATTGAAGCAGTGTTTTAAGAATGAAGACTGTTTCACTGTTCAGACACAGTGAACCAGTGACACAAAGTGGTGGACGCAGTGTGGGTGAACAGTGTGGGTGAACAGTGTAGAATGGGTGAACAGTGTGGCTGAACAGTGTTGAGAGGGAGAGTGTCTGGGGCGGGTGAGAGACCCTCACAGCTTTTCCACACATTCACATTAGGCTGCGTTGGGTTGGGTTGGGTGAGGTTGAGGTTAGGTTAGGGTTTAAAGCACGTTTGTGAACGTGTGTAATGTGACGTATCATAGCCACACCCCGTCCTCTACATCATACGCCGTATTTTATTACTATCAAATGTAAATTTAGTGGCTGATTTGGCCAGTGTGGTGTCCGGTGGCTTCCCTCACATGGGCTCCCTTCTAAGCTGTTATAATTATACTTATATATATAATTTCATTTTTATACAACTTTTATCTTTTATAATATTTGAACTATAAAGTGTTTTTAATTTAAAGGTTATTCATCCCACTGGATATTCCCCCCCCCCACCCACGGTCCTGTGGGACTGTGAATATGAGCAACATCCTCGCGGCCCTGTTCCTGAATATGAGCAACATCCTCGCGGCCCTGTTCCTGAATATGAGCAACATCCTCGCGGCCCTGTTCCTGAATATGAGCAACATCCTCGCGGCCCTGTTCCTGAATATGAGCAACATCCTCGCGGCCCTGTTCCTGAATATGAGCAACATCCTCGCGGCCCTGTTCCTGAATATGAGCATCATCCTCGCGGCCCTGTTCCTGAATATGAGCAACATCCTCGCGGCCCTGTTCCTGAATATGAGCAACATCCTCGCGGCCCTGTTCCTGAATATGAGCAACATCCTCGCGGCCCTGTTCCTGAATATGAGCAACATCCTCGCGGCCCTGTTCCTGAATATGAGCAACATCCTCGCGGCCCTGTTCCTGAATATGAGCAACATCCTCGCGGCCCTGTTCCTGAATATGAGCAACATCCTCGCGGCCCTGTTCCTGAATATGAGCAACATCCTCGCGGCCCTGTTCCTGAATATGAGCAGCATCCTCGCGGCCCTGTTCCTGAATATGAGCAGCATCCTCGCGGCCCTGTTCCTGAATATGAGCAGCATCCTCACGGTCTTGTTCCTGAATATGAGCAGCATCCTCACGGCCCTGTTCCTGAATATGAGCAGCATCCTCGCGGTCTTGTTCCTGAATATGAGCAGCATCCTCACGGCCCTGTTCCTGAATATGAGCAGCATCCTCGCGGTCTTGTTCCTGAATATGATCAGCATCCTCACGGCCCTGTTCCTGAATATGAGCAGCATCCTCACGGTCTTGTTCCTGAATATGAGCAACATCCTCACGGCCCTGTTCCTGAATATGAGCAACATCCTCGCGGCCCTGTTCCTGAATATGAGCAACATCCTCGCGGCCCTGTTCCTGAATATGAGCAACATCCTCACGGCCCTGTTCCTGAATATGAGCAACATCCTCGCGGCCCTGTTCCTGAATATGAGCAACATCCTCGCGGCCCTGTTCCTGAATATGAGCAACATCCTCGCGGCCCTGTTCCTGAATATGAGCAGCATCCTCACGGCCCTGTTCCTGAATATGAGCAACATCCTCGCGGCCCTGTTCCTGAATATGAGCAACATCCTCGCGGCCCTGTTCCTGAATATGAGCAGCATCCTCGCGGCCCTGTTCCTGAATATGAGCAACATCCTCGCGGCCCTGTTCCTGAATATGAGCAACATCCTCGCGGCCCTGTTCCTGAATATGAGCAGCATCCTCACGGCCCTGTTCCTGAATATGAGCAACATCCTCGCGGCCCTGTTCCTGAATATGAGCAACATCCTCGCGGCCCTGTTCCTGAATATGAGCAACATCCTCGCGGCCCTGTTCCTGAATATGAGCAACATCCTCACGGTCCTGTTCCTGAATATGAGCAGCATCCTCACGGCCCTGTTCCTGAATATGAGCAGCATCCTCACGGTCTTGTTCCTGAATATGAGCAACACGGTGTTGTAGGAGCAATATTTATCTATCTTTCTCCCAGTAATCTTATGTGAACACTGATAAGATCTATTTTTTCAAAAGTGGATTCTACTTTAGTTTTTAGTATCTGTTGATGTTTTGGTGTGTGTGTGTGGGGGGGGGGAGGGGGGTGGAATTACCTAAGTGTAGTTACAGGATGAGAGCTACGCTCGTGGTGTCCCGTCTTCCCAGCACTCTTTGTCATATAACGCTTTGAAACTACTGACGATTTTAGGCCTCCACCACCTTCTCACTTCCCGCCAAACACACACCGAAACTACGACGTTGGTACAACGTTCGAACAAGTTTTAACACCACCTAACCAGTTATAACAACCAATATAGCAAGTTGTAACAACGTTCTAATACGTCATAAACACGTTAAGCCAAGATGTAACAACTTTATTACAAGTTGTAACCAGCGGAAAATAGGGACAGTTTCGGTTTGTGTTTCCAGGGTTAACTTGTTCCAATTGTCTATCACTCTGTTAGCAAAAGACAACTTTATAATATTTTTTTCGGCACCATTGCTTCCTTAGCTTGAATCTGTGTCCTCTTGTTCTTGAAGTTGCTGGTTTCAGGAATTCCTCTTTGTCAGTTTGGTCGATTCCTGTTATTATTTTGTAAGTGGTGATCATATCACCTCTTTTTCTTCTATCTTCTAGTATTGGCATGTTTAACGCCTCTAGCCTCCCCGTAACTCTTTTTTTTTCTGTTCCGAAAGTCATTTTGTAGCATGCCTCTGTACCTTTCAGTTTATTGCTGTACTTCTCGAGGAATGGGCACCATACAACTGCTGCATATTCTAATTTTGGTCTCACAAAAGTCATGAACAGTTCCTGTAGTATTTCACCATCCATATAATTAAAAGTGAGTGTGTGAAGTTGGAAAGAGACGCATATGCTCCTCTCACAATGTTCTTTATGTACTATCACCAGAGCCTAGAGCCTAGGTTCTAGAGCCTAGGTTCTAGAGCCTAGAACCCCCCCCCCCTAGGTTTTACCCTCTCCCCTGAGGCTTCACCCCCACTAATTCCTCCCCCTCTCTCCCCACAGATGGTGGCGTGCTCGGGACGGTTCGAGCTGGAGGTGGTGGAGGTTCAGAACCCCCGCTCGGAGGTGCGCTCCGGGAGGTGCTGCGGGGGGATGCCTCGGCCCACGGGGGGCGGGCCGTGCCCCTCCCAGTGCCGCACCGTAGTGGCACTGTGCCTGAAGGAGTATCAGAGCGTGGCCCAGGACGGAGGAGAGGTGAGCGGAGGGGCGAGAGGCGGGTGCACCTACGGTGAGGACACCTCTCCAGTGCTAGGTCCCTCCTCCTTCACCTTGGCGCAGTCGCCACCTGCAGCGCACATCCACCTCCCCTTCACCTTCTCCTGGACGGTAAGTGTTCCTCAATTTGTATTCCTCTGAGACAGTGTTCACCTGGCGTCTAGGTGAGTACAGTCACCTAAGCTGGCCACCTGGGAATAGGAGCCGGTCGGCCGAGCGGACAGCACGCGGGACTTGTGATCCTGTGGTCCTGCGTTCGATCCCAGGCGCCGGCGAGAACTCTGCCCATTGTGGGCAGAGTTTCTTTCACCCTATGCCTCTGTTATCTAGCAGTAAAATAGGTACCTGGGTGTTAGTCAGCTGTCACGGGCTGCTTCCTGGGGGTGGAGGCCTGGTCGAGGACCGGGCCGCGGGGACACTAAAAAAGCCCCGAAATCATCTCAAGATAACCTCAAGATAACCTGAAGCGCTACTCTGCAGCAGATATTTTCTATGGTATTAAAACGTGTACATTTTGGAACATACAAAATACAATTGTTTCATCAGCAGACAAATATCGTATTAATTGTTGTTTTTCTTTGTCTTATCTGACGATTTATTGCCGTTTATGAAATCTTATATTACTATCGACAAAGGAATTGCGCAAGTAAATTTTTGTTTAATTTGGCATTGTTATTAATGAGAATTTGCCTCGAATGTCAAGTTTTGTCGTTCCCACAACGAGGCGAAAGGTCTGGCAGCTGGCGGCGGAGTAGCTCACTGACTGTGCAGACGAGGAGTCACAATAACGTGGCTGAAGTATGTTCACCAGACCACACACTAGAAAGTGAAGGGACGACGTCGTTTCGGTCCATTCTCACCATTTGGACCATTCTCAAGTCGATTGTCGATCTTACAATCGACTTGAGAATGGTCCAGGACGGACCGAAACGTCGTCGTCCCTTCAGTTTCTAGTGTGTGGTCTGGTCAACATTGACTGTGTCTTTGGTGTAATATACCTTGTGGCCGCCTCGTGTGGGGGCAGTACTGCCCATCTTCCTATCACGAGAGTACTTGTAGCTACTGTGTGGTGGACAGTACCAATATGTAGTGATGGACCACCACAAAGTTGACTTTTGTGTTACTGAATGTAACACAAAGCGGAAATGTTTATATCTACAACATGAGCACAAGACCTAACCTAACCTAACCTTCCCAGCTGTCCTACACGCCATTATAGGCCTAATATAATACATCTGGGTTATACTAGGCCTAGGAATATTTACGTTTGGTTTTTAGCTTACTTTTTTCCGGACTCTTTTAAAATCAGTATTACAAAGAGTGGTATACTGTTGGTCCATCATCACATCTTCTTGAGGTTATCTTGAGATGATTTCGGGTATTTTTTTTTTTTTTTTTAGTGTCCCCGCGGCCCGGTCCTTGACCAGGCCTCCACCCCCAGGAAGCAGCCCGTGACAGCTGACTAACACCCAGGTACCTATTTTACTGCTAGGTAACAGGGGCATAGGGGGAAAGAAACTCTGCCCATTGTTTCTCGCCGGCGCCTGGGATCGAACCCAGGACCACAGGATCACAAGTCCAGCGTGGTGTCCGCTCGGCCGACCGGCTCCCTCCTCCCGACCGTATCACATGTTGCCACTTGTGATACTGTAACCACCTCAGGAGGACGGGCTGGACAACAGCCCTTATGACGTGACTCTCACTATTATGGTGAACACTTTATGTAGGACATACGTTAATACTATGTATTTACGTATGTAGGTTAGCTTAGCATTTTAAAAGCACCGACTCACCTTCTGTGGTTGGTTGTTCAATAAACCCTTGAACTGTATGTTTAACACATCTCTAACCTGGTCCATGGAGGACAGAAGAAAATGTATATATGCTGATTAGCATTGTAACTGTGTGGCCACGTCTGTGGTAGAAAATAATAAAAAAAAATTATTATGGTCTTGGCTAGATCTGTTTCCTCGTTCTCCGCGATGAAGATCAAGAAGGGAACAGGATGTAAAATATCCTGGACCAGGACTCATCAAGCACTTTACACAACCACTTGCGAAACCTCTGCATCTTTTCTTAATTATGTCTCCTTGGTTTACATATATTTAACAGACCTACAAAGCACTACGCGCGTGTTTATAACAATAATAATCTTGGGTTGTGACGCTTTCAAGCTGGTAAAGTGTTTAATAACTGTATAGAAAGACTCCATCATTAAGGAAAGATGTACAGGTTTCGTAAATGTGTGTGTGTAAATACTTGACGAAATACCCGGATCTTGTGTTAAGGAAAAGGTGGTTCACAAACTGCTCTGAAACTCTCGTATTAAATAATAACCTTAACTCGTGAAGGTAAGCCAAATAATATACAGTATATAATAAGAGAGACTAAGGCTCCATTTCTCCTCCATATAAATTTTCTTTTCCAGCTAATTGGGACCAAGGCGGACCATTGTAAAAAAAAGGAGACACTTCAAATTCCTGGCCATGGCATTTCCCTCCTTTCTCAGTTATGGGCGCCATCGGTATCTAAATCATGGGGCATTCCTCAGAAGTCGTTCATAGGGGGGGGGTCCAAAACGACAGGTGTCGTTCAGGGAGCACAATGGTATCCAAAAACGATACAATTCGTTCAGGGGGGAATAGGTTGGTGTCTAAAATGATAGAAATAGCTGGAGACGATAGGATAAAGATGTCTTGAACGATAGAAGACCAGCAGCGGGGGCGGGAGGGGGGGGGGGGGCGGGGTTACTCTCCAAACCCATGCCCTGGGAATTCTGGAAACTTCTCTTCCTCCAATTAAGGACAATATTATATTATATATATATATATATATATATATATATATATATATATATATATATATATATATATATATATATATATATATGTATGAGTGGTAGTGTGGCCTCGGGTAAGTAAGCCTGGTAGTGTTGTGGTCACGACAAGAGTGTGAAGACTCCAGGAGGAGCAACACCTGTGACTTATTATTAAGGGTGACCAGGGAGGAATATGGCAACAGTGGCTGTAGCCTGACGTTACTGTGGCGATTTTCCTTCTTTTCCTTGTCATCTTGCTCCTGCTTCTCCTCCTCCTAGTCCCTCCTCGTTGTTAGTTCCAAGTAGCATGGGCTATGGTGATCCCGTAGTGGACTTACCTGGCACCAGGAGCGGGGCTGTAACCTCGTTGTTGTTGTTGTTGTTTTAGATTTAGCTACTCAGAACGAAGTATCCATGTAGCACGGGCTATGGTGACCCCGTAAGCCCCCCCCCCCTCTCCTTCCTCATCTTCCCTCCTCTTTATCCTTCTCGTCCCTTCCCCCCTCGTCCCCCCCCCCTCGTCCCCCTCCTCGTCCCCCTCCTCGTCCCCCTCCTCGTCGTCCTCCCCGTCCCCCCTGCCGTGCCCCCCACCACCAACACCTTCCCCACCCACCTCCCCAATTAGCACATAACAACGTCCGTGTAGTGAGTTTGATTCCACCTGGGCTGGTGGCGGCGGAGGTCGTCACGTCCCAAAAACAGGCGGGAGCGCTCACCTAAATGGATTTGGGATGGACCAGAAGTACCTTGGGAAGGAGAAAAACGATAATTAGGACTTAGATAATGATCTGGAGGGAATTTGGCGTGGAAGGTAAGGAGGGAGGCGACGGCTAGAGACGTCCAGAATAATGAAAGTTTTCCTCCTTGTATAAATGTAAAAACTTTATTACATTATGAAGAATGAATTTAATTTTCCACCTAAATTTCAATTACTATTAATATTGGTGCTACAGTTGTCGCTGATGCTATTGTTAGACTAAGCCTAAAAAGGTCTAACAATAGCCTGTCATTGTTAGGCCTACAAGTTTTGTCATTGCTAAGCATACTATTATTACTGCTGTTATTATTAGTGCTATGTGCTCATTACAACTACAGTTTTTTGCCAATATATATATCGACACTTAATGTGTAAGGTGTTATGTAACTTATGTGGTCTGTCGACACTTAATGTGTAAGGTGTTATGTAACTTATGTGGTCTGTCGACACTTAATGTGTAAGGTGTTATGTAACTTATGTGGTCTGTCGACGCTTAATGTGTAAGGTGTTATGTAACTTATGTGGTCTGTCGACACTTAATGTGTAAGGTGTTATGTAACTTATGTGGTCTGTCGACGCTTAATGTGTAAGGTGTTATGTAACTTATGTGGTCTGTCGACACTTAATGTGTAAGGTGTTATGTAACTTATGTGGTCTGTCGACACTTAATGTGTAAGGTGTTATGTAACTTATGTGGTCTGTCGACGCTTAATGTGTAAGGTGTTATGTAACTTATGTGGTCTGTCGACACTTAATGTGTAAGGTGTTATGTAACTTATGTGGTCTGTCGACACTTAATGTGTAAGGTGTTATGTAACTTATGTGGTCTGTCGACACTTAATGTGTAAGGTGTTATGTAACTTATGTGGTCTGTCGACACTTAATGTGTAAGGTGTTATGTAACTTATGTGGTCTGTCGACACTTAATGTGTAAGGTGTTATGTAACTTATGTGGTCTGTCGACACTTAATGTGTAAGGTGTTATGTAACTTATGTGGTCTGTCGACGCTTAATGTGTAAGGTGTTATGTAACTTATGTGGTCTTTCGACACTTAATGTGTAAGGTGTTATGTAACTTATGTGGTCTGTCGACACTTAATGTGTAAGGTGTTATGTAACTTATGTGGTCTGTCGACGCTTAATGTGTAAGGTGTTATGTAACTTATGTGGTCTGTCGACACTTAATGTGTAAGGTGTTATGTAACTTATGTGGTCTGTCGACACTTAATGTGTAAGGTGTTATGTAACTTATGTGGTCTGAACAATATTACTGACAGTTACACCTCACCCACACATCTGACACTCCCCCCCACACATCTGACACTCCCCCCCCACACATCTGACACCCCTCACCCACACTCTGACACGCCTCACCCACACTCTGACACGCCTCACCCACACATCTGACACCCCTCACCCACACATCTGACACCCCTCACCCACACATCTGACACACCTCACCCACACATCTGACACACCTCACCCACACATCTGACACCCCTCACCCACACATCTGACACCCCTCACCCACACATC